TAATCTATGACTCGATGAGAAAACCACAACAAGACTACCAAGATATGATAGATATTATCCAGAGGTAATTTCGGGATCTCTAGCAACTATATATACACACAAACATGATGATTAACTATATCGATGACGTGGCAAATTTTTTATTAGGCGGTGTTTGGAAAACCTTTATTGAGAAGCAACACATGGAAAAATGCAAAGCGCCACTGAATGTAATCCCTTTGAAAGTAAGTCCCCTGAATCGCATCATCTTTATTAATTAAACATATAGCTTTCACCGGATCACCAGATTGGATGACAAATCTTTTTCTCGTAAAGTGGTGTCTAAGGCAGGAACAGGGGAACAACTATTGTGGTTACTATGTTTGCAAGTTTATCAACGTGCTCTCCCAAAGAACTCCTACAGAGAGACTCAAAGTACGTTAAAAATGCACTATATATTCATTTAATTATTATTATTGATTGTGTTACTATGTCTTTATATATATATATATATGTACATATATTAATTTATTTTCCTTTAATTTAAACCTGTAGACTCGATGGTTGGAGGAAAAGGTCATACGGCAAGACCAAATCAAAGCAATTCAAGAGTCTATAGCCGGATTTTTTAATGAGCAGGTCATCGATTCCAAGGGCGAGTTCTACTTCGACCCAACACTGCCATTGAAGCCAAGCTAGAGGATGAGAGGAAACTTGTTATGTCACAACAACTGTAATGCAATCTTTTGTAATATATGCACATGAAATAATATAATGTAAAATACACATATGCATGCATGCATGTAAATATATATATGATGCATGCATTCACATATATATATATATATATATTTCTATGCTTGAATTGTGTGATTTAATACGTTCATTGTGCTTGAACCGAAACATACTATATGCGCGTATAAATGTATAATTAGCAGCGTACAATATGACTTCGAAAACCTATTTTGAAAAGAAAAGAAAACAAAAAAATGAAAAGAAAAGAAAAAAGAAAAAAACCTTTAGTCCCGGTTCGTATTACCAACCGGGCCTAAAGGTGCCGGCCATCGTGACATGTCAGGAGGCACCTTTAGTCCCGGTTGGTGTTACCCACCGGGACTAAAGGTCCTCCTTTAGTCCCGGTTCCTGACCCGGGACTAAAGGACCCCCCCTTTAGTCCCGGATGCTTGCTCCCGGGTGGGGAACCGGGACTAGAGGGGGTTCCCCACCGGGAGTAAAGCTCGGTTCTCTACCAGTGTAAGTAGTTTTTTTTCCTTTGCCGAGTGTCCTAGATCTAGGCACTTGGCAAAGTTTTTTTTTCTTCTCCTTTTTTTCTATAAAAAATATTTTTATTTCTTTGCCGAGTGCAAAAAAAAAACACTCGGCAAACCCCCTCTTTGCCGAGTGTTTTTTTTTTACACTCGGCAAACCTCATCTTTGCCGAGTGTTTTTTTTTTGCCGAGTGTTTTTAGCGCAGCACTCGGCAAATAGCTTGTTTGCCGAGTGCCCGAGAGAATACACTCGGCAAACATAAAAACACTCGGCAAATTTGACGTTTCCGGTAGTGGGTGCCATGACTCTAAAACTCCATCAGTGAGACCGTGAGAGACTAGCAATTGGCTTGTGATGTGAGCTGTGGCTGGATGAGAACGACGAGAAGATAAGGAATGGTGCTCTTTACTGTAGGCGGTGGATGAGCCTAGTCTTGGACCATGAGCCCTGGGTTCAGCAGATATTAGGAAAGACAAACGCCATTAATCAGTATTGCATGTTATTAGCCCTAACCGAAATATAAGAGCTGTTCTTCAGATATTAATCATTTGCTTCTATTTCTTGCTCAATATTCAGCGGGTAGTAATTTGCATGTTACCCTCGTTCCTATATTTGTACTCCTGCGTTCCAAACACCTATTTAAATCCTTTCCTGTATTTTCCTTTCCTCTGTTTTGCAGTATTACTCATATCCCTTTACTTTTTTCCTTTCCTCTGATTTTCGTTCCTTCGTTCCAGATAGGCCCTCAAACTGTGAATTCAGGGACAAAAATTGCCTATTAAAGATAGAATCCTTATGTTAAAGACAAGATATGATGGTTCCGCCTCACTCACTAAAACTCTAGCTTCGTCATGCATCCTCTATCTAACCTCTCTGTCCTGTTTGGGCTGGTTCCCAACAAAACTGATAACAAATTCATATTTGAAATATGACGGGGGTTATTCTGATTTAAGCGCCTGTTCTGGCTGCTCCGGCAAGTACTGTGGCTAAGGTGGCAGCTACTGATTGGGCGTTATGTGTACTGTAGTTGTTGGATGGCCGCACAGATGCAGCTGCAGCCCATGCCGAACAGCCTCTTTGGTCAATTTGTGTAGCTCCTAAATACAATGTTATAAAAAGTATGGTCAACAATCGATTTTGTATAGTAATGAGCGATGCCCTCGACTCTCTCTTCCTCAAGCGCCCACAAAGGGTGAATCGGGGGTGCATCGCCGGTGCCGCTCCAACCACCAACTGGAGCCTCTCTGGCCTCCACCACCGCCCCCCGACGGTGCGTCCAGGTGCGTCACGGTGCCCTCGTGCTGGCGATGGGCTTGAACGACACGATTAGGTAGGCGCGGTCCAACGGCTCCTATCCTATTCGGTGGAACGGTCGGCGGGCTGGGTGAGGACCTCGCAGCAGTGGCAGCGGCAGCGCCTGTCACCAGTTGGTCTGTTGGACAGTATGGCCGCTCGCCCGCTTGGTACCCGGCGTCTGCGGTCGAATAGTCCCCGGGTGAAAACATCATGCTATTAATCTATTATACATTAAGAGATGATGTACCTATGGCGCACTTCATCAAGATATAGATTTCTAGAAGCGGATAGCTTAATAAGACCATCTTTGAATGTGTTTTTAGATACGGGCTATATAAGCACTATTTTGTAACATCATGCTATTATTGTCATACCAATCGTAGTTGAAAATCCATTTCTAGCCATGGTTGGTGTTTTCGACCATCCCTAGAGATTTTGAAGTTCATTTTTTTTCTATACAACCTTGAGTGTTCTAGCTATCTTTTTCCTGAGGAGTTGAGGATGGTTGGTGTTCTTAGACATGCTCTCTACAACATTTTTATTGCTCGATGAGATAAAGTTTTAAAGTTGAAACTTTTTAAATTTAAAACCACTTAGAGAGTGAAATATTCAATACAAGATTTACAAAAATTAATCCAAAAGGATAGCAAGCTTCACTGACTTCATCACGAGGGACCATGTCGTGTATTGGCAATGGGCTTCTCTAGGCATTGATTTTTTTTCTTTCCTATTTTATGCTTGTTTTTAAAATCATAGAAAATGAGTTAAAGGTGCAGGCTTACTAACTGCCCTTATGAATCGATTTTTAGAGATGGACCATGTACAAGCGATCAATAGAAATCGATTTCCTAGGGTGGCTTAGTACTTTTGACCATTCCTAAAAATCAATTTCTAGAGTTATATAATATTGCTTCTACGCTTGAGTAGATGTGGTTGGAGAAACCACCTCTTCGAATCAATTCCAAGCATGATTAAGAAACTTTTATACATTTATGTTTTCCTGAAGCCATTAAAGTTAGTTGAAACCAAGTAGTCTAGCCATCGTTTTCATGAGGATGGGAGGGCCTTGGAAGACTTAAGCCCTATTTGACACAACTTCTCCATCAGCTTCATGAGCAGTTTGGAGCTATTTTGTGCCAAACAGATCTTTTGCAAATAGCTTCACTGGTAAAGGTCCTCAAAACCTGCTCTCACATATGATTGGAGTGGGATGAAGCTGAAAATAACAGCTTCATCACCTGCCTCATACTCGCTCGAGTGGGTCCTGTCATGGGTTCATTTCCACTGCAGTAATTGAGTTGTTCGACGTGGGTCGGTACATGGGTCTTTGGTGGCTTAAGCACTCAAAACACAAGGGATTTAACTTGGTTCAGGCATCTAACAAGCGCTACGTCTAGCAATAGCGTTCTTCTTGCTAGGAATGCCTAATCAAGTTCTTACAAGAGAGAGAGATATGGCCAACTGCTCTATGCTATTGTTCTAGGTATTCTTGACGTCTCAGGTGATGGGCTAACCCAGGAATCCATCTATTGTGGAGTCCTTCTTAGCTACTATAGGGTTCGATCCCTTATACAGGAGGCCATGCCCTATTTATATACCGGAGGGCGATAGGGGTACAAATTTACGTGATCGTGACACGTCACGCCTCAGGTGTGAGTCTGCACCGGACGTGGCCAACATAGCTTCGCTGTGGAGGAGAAAACAGGCCCCCAGGCAAGGACTGACTATGCTGATCTGCCTGCCTGTTAGGCTCCGGATGCCTGACATGGGGCATATTCACGTCGTTGGTTGGGGTTGGAGCCCTGTCCAAGCCAAGGTCGACGCGATTGTGTTCAGTGGCACTGTCTCGACATAGACCCCCTAGGCTGTGAACTTCCTTAGTTTGGTCGAGCCCCATGGGCAAAGGCACTCGGGATTATCTTCTCTTGGCTGATTCCCTTGATGTTGGGGACTTGTTCAGTTGTGGGCCTTCCGCCGGCCTACTAGGAAATCCCTTGACCGGCCAGAGGACGCACGTGAGCACATTCGATGGGTGTAGCCCCCGAGCCCTTGGTGAATTGTGAGAATGAGTCAGGGGTTAATCAAAACAGCTTCAACTTCACTAGTAGAGTTGCTCCATTGTGAAGCTGAAGCCCAAAAAGCAGTTTCATTAGTGAAGCTAAGCTGTGCCAATCAGTAGCAAAGCTTGTAATACATGTTGAGACGTTGATGACAAGAACAGGGAGTAATGGTCGCTTTAATTTCACTCAGTCGGTGACATGGGTATATCACTCCCGCGTGCATACACAGCCACTTTTCTAATTAGTTGTGAACTGATTAATCCCACTGTAAATGCCGTATATATATTAGTGCTTGGAGAAATAATGCACAATAATACATGTCCCCACCCCACCCCTTAGCTCACATGACACACAATTTGAAGTTACTGGCAGTGGCCGCTGCTAATTAATCACAGTCTAGATGTCGTAGGTCTTGCACCACGCCGGCGACGAGAGAGCGGGCTCGCCGGTCTGCGGAAACGGTGAGGAAAGCGAGCAGTCGTAAATGGTGAAGTACTCATCCTTGAACGGCCAGGACTTGTATCCCAGCGTGACGCGCATCCTCACCACCATCTCAAAAAGCCCCTTGTCCCTGTCACTAGAGAACATCTCGGCCACTGTGCTGCTAGCGTTGCGCAGCTGTCCCACACACACCAGCCGGATCACGGTGCTCCCGTGGGGATCCTGCTTGAAAGACGGAAGCTCGTCATCGACTGGGCCTAGCTTCTCACCTGCGTACAGTACACTCACGGCTAGGTTGTCGTAATTGGTACTGTAGTAATTGTGAGCGTTCTTGAAAAGGAGGTAGGCGGTGAGGTTGAAGCGGAGATGAGGGGCACCAGGTGTGGCCGCCATGGCATCGGCCTGCTGAAGGTCGAACGCGTGGGGCTTCACGTCGATCGGACGGAACAGCACCCACTGTATGAATAAGACGAGCAACGTCGTCACCCAGAGCTTGGAGAGGTTCTTGGCCACGAAGGCGAAGAACTTTTGTGTGCCGTTCTGCGGCTCCAGAGTCCAGATGCGGTGGCGTCGTGACCTCCAAACAGGGCAGGCAGCGAGAGACACAGTAGATTTCGAGGAATAGCTCCCCCAAGGCATGGCAAAAGAAGAAGAACACGCAGGATGTGAGGCACCTGAAGTAAGTTTCTTCCTTGCTAAAATCGTCGTGGAGGTCATCCAGAAGGTGGTAACGGAGGTCGTCGAGGTGGCCGTGCACATAGACTGCTATGCTGTTGCAGGGGCCGCGCTGCGCCTCGTTGTGTCCTGGAGCCAGCAGATGTGATGTGGCTGTCTGCACTTCGTCTCCCTCTGCATGTCTGCCGGCTCTGGGGCGACGGTGATGCCCTCGGCCGTAGACATGTATGCCTATCTAACTTCGCTTCAGGTATGGTTTGGTTCAGCTTCGTGCAATGATGGACACAAGTGATGCCCTAGCTTGCTCTGTCTTAATTTGTACTACTAGCTCTCCGGTGATCCCAGCTCTGCGTCAAGCTGTGAGCTGAACCCTCCCCAAGGCGATGATGCAATGTGACAGAGACTGTGCATTAACAATGGTATTCCATGTACGAGAGTGTCAAATTTCTGAATATAATAACGTAGGAGTTGTTCAACAACTCCGTGGAGTCACAACTATGTATAGAAATGTTATTTACTCACGTTTAGACAGGGGCGGAGCTACAGAATTATGGAGGCGGGTGCGGCTTGCGGTCTACCGATAGAACAATAATGCAACTTAATAGCACCCTAGCCATATTTTAGCATGAATAGTTTAAAACAAGCAATGTTGATGCACATCAATAATGAAGTAGGGGTAACAGTATATTTGTGCTTACCATTTATCAAAATACTGTAAGGGAATCCCACAACTATAACAACAAAATGCAATCCTTAACCACGAAATCCTCACTGAAAAAAGAAATAAACCATTCAGTGTAAGCAAACAAATTATATGATGTATCGTCGAAAAAATTGAAAAGAGGTGCATTACCTCCATAGATCAAGGGATCTGTCTTGGTGGCATTCAGTTGTTTTGGCCCCTCGTAACAACTGAATTTTTTTAGGATAATACAAATATATGTCAATTTTTTAGAAAAAAATACAAATTAAATCTATGAATTGCAGATATCAGAGAATATATGTCAAATTATTCATAAATTATCCAAAAATTTCAGAATAAATTATAATTTTTTACAAATTCTAGTGGGACCCACCCTCCCCAACCTTATCCCTTCCCTTCCCTTCCAGCCTTCCCTAAGCCGCACCTGTTGCTGCACTCGCCCTCCTCGTCGCCGGCAGCCGGCCCCACGTCGGGTCCTCTGGGGCCGCCATCGCCCTCCTCATCGTCGGTCGCCAACCCCGCGCCACGCCCGCCATGGCCAGAGACCCGAGCTCCGGGGCCAGCCTCGCACCCCGCCTACTGGCCGTGCCCTCCTGCTAGCCGTGTCGCCTGCCTAAGCCATCCGCGCCCGATCCGACAGCCAAAACACTGGGTTGACAGAAGCTCCCAAAATAACCGGTTATGGCTTAGCAATTCTCTAGATCAAATATACACCCTTTATACATGTCTTTGTAGAAACGGATGACCTTTGAAACCGATTTCTAGGGATACTATGACAAACTTGATTTTCAGCAAGGGGAGCTTTGTTTAGAGGCAGGTCAATTTATAGCCATGTCTATAGTGGCTTCCAAACTGAGCCATCTCTAGAAATGCATATGTAGAGACGGTTGTTGTTTCCAGCTGTCTCTACAAATACCTCTATTTTTAGAGGCGCCTTTATTCCCCGTCGTCTCTAGAAATGGATTTGTGCCTTTAATAATAGGAACTACATTGTAAAATTTGAATTTTTCAAACGATCTTGGATGGAGAAATAACCAAAATAAAAGTTATAGATCTAAACAAGTTATGCAACTTTATAGTTTACAATATTTTCATTTGAAATCATATATGCATGGAAAATTAGGTTTGAATTTTGCACATCTGAAATTCCAAATTTTCAAATGACCACACTTGGAGAAACGACCAAAACCAAAGTTGTAGATCTCCAAAGGTTATAAAATTTTGTAATTGACAACTTTCTTATTTGAATTCGTTCAGGATCACAAATACTCATTTGATAATCAGATGAAGGTAAAACAAGGAGGATGAATATCCCAATTGGACACAAGTGTGCAATGGGTGAAGTGGTTATGAGACAAACATGCGAGGCTTGAGGTCACGGGTTCGATCCTCCCACGGCCGCATAGCGCGCATTTTTCACATGAAAAATCACATGAATTGTGACTTCTGGACAATGATTTGAAATGGTGTTGGTGTCTAGTGGGGTATTTCGGGATTAAAAAAACTTGCTATTCTTTGCTTTTGATTTTGTAATTTCTAGATAATGGTTTGTAAAGGCGGTTCAAAATGCAGTTGCCTCAGCAAATCAATTTATAGACACGACTCTCGTTCCCAGCCACCTCTAGAAATTCGATTTGTTGAGACGCTAGGGCACTGCATCTACAAATTGTTGATTTTTTAGAGGCGGAGGAGTAGAGGCGGTTGGAACACCCACCTTTATAGAGGCATCCTAGCCGCCTCTACAAATAAAATTAGTTGTAATGGGATAGACCAAAACACCAGCCGCTCATAGAAATCAATTTCTAGGAGTTACTATAAAACACACACCAAACATGCATGCAGCTACTACAAAAAGCATTTGTAGAGAGATGTCTGTTTTTAGCAGCGGCCCAATCTAAAACCGTCTTTAAAAATGATTCCAAAACAAGCCATCTCAAGAAATGCATCTGTAAGAGCAGCTGGTATTTTTAGCCCCTCTACACCCTTTTTTTGAGATACCTCTAGATCTAGCTGCCTGGATCTAGAGCCGTCTCTAAAAATAGACGCCGAATAGTAAACTTATATATGAATTTGATTTTTTAAACAACCTCGGATGAAGAAATGACCAAAACAAAAGTTGTTGATCTTGAAAAGTTATACAACATTCTAATGGATAATATTTTCGTTTGAAATCATGTATCCAAGGATAATTATGATTGAATTTCTCACATTTAAAGTTTGATCTTTTTTCAAATGAACTCGAATGGAGAAACAACCAAAATAAAAGTTGTAGATCTCCAAAAGTTATACAACTTTATAGTTGACAACTTTTTCATTTAAATCATATATCCAAGGAAAATTACATTTGAACTTCTCACATTTGAAATTTGAATTTTTCAAATGACCTCAGATGGAAAAACGATCAAAATCAACTAATTCAACTTTGTAGTTGATAGTATTTTCATTTGAAATCATCTATCCAAGAAAAATTACGTTTAAATTTCTCATATTTGAAATTCAAGTTTTTCAAGAGGCCTATGCGTGGTGTGGTTAGGGGAGCTCTCGAAAGTTATACAACTTTGTACTTGACAACTTTTTCATTTAAATTAGTTTAGCATCCCAAATATTCATTTTAAAATTGGATTAAGATTAAGGATGGCAGTCAAGCGGGTTTGGACCCGAAACCCGTGGTTTCAGACCTAGCGCATGTGAGTCTGTTTTTGCCCCTGCGGGTCTCGGGTTCAGGTACTTGAATCGGGTCGAGGGCGGGGGTGGGTTTCATAGTCACCCCGCGGGTGCCCACGGGCCCCTGAAACTAAGGCCTAGGCGCAACAGTCCTGGAATAAATTCAGCCCACAAGGGCACAAACTCATGGATTCAAAGCCCAACAACCCAATCCCACCTCCTAACCCTACCCTGTGCTGACACCCGAGCCGGTCCACTCTACCGCTCCGTGACTCCCCGCGAGACCGCGACCTCGTTCCCCTTGGCGTTCGCGAGTCTCACGACATCGCTCCCCCGCTCCACGAATCTCCCGCTCCGCGCTCGGCCGAACACAGCTGGGTACTCCATGCAGCCAAAGGCAGGGTAGCATGCCGCTTCGCAGCACGTCGCTCTGCCACTCGCGCAGTCTCCGCTCTGCATGCAGGTGGTGGCGCGACGCTCAACGAATAGGAGGCAAGGAGGAAGAAGTTGTTGTAAAGTTCCCATGTTTCGGGGACCCAACAGGTTCAGGGGCGGGGGCGGATCTTCCCCCGTAACAGGGTTCGGGGCGGGTATGGGTTTCATTTGTCCGGTCTCAAGTGTGGGTCTGTGGATGCTCCACGTTTCCCATTGCCATCTTTAATTACGATAAAATGAGGACCACGAATATCTCATTTGGACACAAGTGACTTATGGATGGAGTGGTTAGGGGAGATACATGTAAGATCATGGGTTCGAACCCCAGTGGCCACAAAGTGTCCGCTTTTCACATGGAAAATCAAGTGACCTGTGATGTGTGGCTGATTGGTGGGGTCTTTCCCTAGATTATTTTTTGCTATTTTTGGGGATACATTTTTCATTTCTAAAAACGCAGTTTGTTGATGTGGCTCGTTTTTCAACCACCCCTAGACATACCTAGCTACCCCTAGAAATTAATTTGTAGGGGTGTTGATTTCTTGAGACGGTTTGGTAGGGGCGGCTGGCCTAGCCGCCACCCCTGTGTATCCTCTCCGTAGTAGTGTGCTGGCCTATCACTACTAATTGTGCTGGAGCTAGCAGTGGGTCGGCTAAACTACCGTAGCTAAGATTCGGACAATGATTGGGATCCTATTAATAACCTGGCCATGAAGCCCCCTTTCACTGCTAGGTTGAGGCATTGCTCGATAGGGCCAAGCCAATAGTGGTATGGAGAATATCACCTGGCCAGGAAGCCCCCTTTCACTGCTAGGTTGAGGCATTGGTCGATAGAGCCAAGCCAATAGTGATATGGAGGATGTCACTGTAACATCCTGTGTTTCTATGTAATATAAAAATACCACTTCTTTCAACTTTTTGTATGATTCCGTGTTGCATGTAATGATAGGTCAAAAACAAGTCTTCTCCTTCTGAGCCCAATCCGCTAGCTAGTTGAGCTGTAGCTTTGACACCACGCAGCATCATAGTAGGCCCTGTGGTCTGTTGGCCCAAAGGATCACCGACTCAGGTGAGTTGCCCACTCACTGGTCTTGCCGAGCACCCGCTAGTGTTGTCAAGCACGCACTAGCTGTGCCGACCACGAACAAGCGTTGTTCGTCCCACACACTATGGCTATAGCTTGAAGAAGAAGTGAGAACAGAGCATACACACACAATACAAGACACCAGCGTTGGTCGAAGCCCTGTATGGGAGATGGCAAATCTGAACTCTCTTTACTGAGTTGCCGTGGTAGCCTATTTATACAACTCTATCCTTCTAGTCCCAGTACAGCTGCCCTGCTGCAATAGTGACTAGATAACATACAAGGCTGACTCTACGCCGGCCACTGCATGTGCCTACAGTGCTGCAGATGAGCCGTGCGGCGCCCGCACCTGCAGCGGCTACAGTATCATAGCAGGGAGCCCTTTTCGGCGCCGCCTTCCCTTGTTGTGTTCACATAAGGTAGAAGTGGATTATCTAACAATCTTCCCCTAATCCTACTGCTAACCCTTGTACCCCCTCCATGCCGATCATCTCCTTCAGCTCTATGAGTCGAAGACGTCCGAGCGGCTTGGTGAGGACGTCCATGAGTTGCCGACCAGTTTCGACGAACTTGATGACGATCTGCCCTCCATCAACATAGTCCCTAAGGAAGTGGAACTTCACGTTGATGTGTTTACTCCGGTCGTGTAGAACCAGATTCTTCGTGAGAGCGATGGCGGGCTGGTTGTCCACCATCAGTGCTGGTGGGTGAGCTTCCACGCCGGTTAGCTCGTCCAGCAGCCGACGCAGCCACACAACTTGGCACGCCACTGTGGCCGCCGCTACGTACTCTGCCTCGCACGTAGAAAGTGTCACCACCTTCTGTTTCAGCGACAGCCATGATATTGGAGCCGACCCAAGGAAGACGAGCAAGCCAGAGGTGCTCCGTCGTCCGTCGATGTCCCCCGCCATGTATACATCGCTGAAGACAGTGAGCTGCAGCCTACTCCCACCGGTCTTGGGAATGACGATCCCGTGATCCATCGTCCCCTTGATGTAGCGTAGTAGCCGCTTCACTGCAGCCTAATGATCCTCTCTGGGATCCTCCATGAAGCGACTGACGTAGCCCACGGCGAACGCGATGTCCGGCCTCGTGTGGACTAGGTAGCGCAGACCGCCGACGATGCTCCAGTAGAGTGTTGCATCCACCTTCGCCGTGGTGCTAGCCTTCGTCAGCTTCAGCCGCTCCTCCATTGGAGTCACACATGGCTTGCACTCAGCCATGCTGCTCCACTCCAACAGCTTCGAGGCGTACGCGCTCTGTCCGAGCGTGAGTGCATCCCTCCCCTGTTTCACCTCGATGCCGAGGTAGTAGGTGAGCTTCCCGAGATCGCTCATTTGAAAACAAGCCGCCATC